CCCCGTCCTGCACACTTACTGTTTGTTAACTCTTTGCAACAACCCTGTAGGTACTACTGTCCTTACCCTCTTTTTCACAGATGAGGAAACCCAGGCAAAGGGAGGGTGAGTTATGTGCCCCGGACCACACAGGTAGTAAGTGCCAGAGCAGGGATTCAGACGGCTCTAACCACCACCCAGCCCTGCCTCCTGTGTAATAGAGACCACAGTCCCCCTGCCCCAGGCGGTCCTGAAGGTCAGCCCTTGGCCTTGCCTTCTCATCAATGAATTGCCTTTGAGCTCATTTTGGTGCCAGACTTGACGCCGGGTTCTGGCCTCAGCATGGGCTACAGCAAGCAGAAGTCACATTTCATGACAAACAGGTTCATCAGAAGCCAGTGAACTTCCAGGGAGAAATCCTGGGAAATCTTGGGGTGCCGTGTGGGGTCTGACCTACTCTAGAGTATCAGGGAAGACAGTTCAACCAACCTCTTTTATTTTTTTAATTCTGTTTTTACTTTCCATTGTTTTAATTGGTGCATTATGGCTGGTGGGATTTGTGATGGCACACTGTACATGCCACAATACCACTCGCCCAATATTCCCCTTGGCACTTTGCCCTCCTTCCCCTCCTCCCACCCGCTGGTCCCTTTTCTCTATGCTACTGATCTCCCTTTGCTTTTCATGCTATAACTGCCCGCCTTCCTTTTCCTTTTTCCTCTCTAGCTTCCACATATGAGAGGAAACATATGACCCTTGACCTTCTGAGTTTAGCTTATTTTGCTTAACATAATGGTCTCAAGTCCCATCCATGTTCCAGCAAATGACATAATTTCATTTTTCTTTATGGCTGAATAAAACTCCATTGAGTATATAGACCACATTTTCTTTATCCATTCATCTATCGGTGGACACCCAGCCTGGTTCCATAGTTTGGCTGTTGTGAATTATGCTGCTATAAACATGGGTATTTGAATATTGCTATAGCATGCAGATTTTAATTCTTTAGTGCAATATTGAGGAGCAGAATAGCTGGGTCGTATGGTGGTTCCATGCCTAGTGTTCTGCGGAGCTTCCATACTGATTTCCATGGTGGTTATACCAACAGACAATCCCACCAACAGTGTAAAAGTGATCCTTTCTCCACATCCTCTCCAGCATTTATTATTATTTGTATTGTTGATGACTGCCATTCTGACTGGTATGAGATGAGACTTCAGTGTAGTTTTGATTTGCATTTCCCTAATTGCTAATGATATTGAACATTTTTTCATATATTTGTTGACCATTTGTGTGTCTTCTTTGGAGAAGTATCTGTTTAATTCATTAGCCCATTTTTTCAGGCTGGGTTATTTGGTTATTTGGTGTTGGTTTTTGAGTTCTTATATATTCTTGATACTACACCTCTGTCAGAAGAGTAGCTAGCAAAGATTTTTCTCCCACTCTGAAGGTTCTCTCATCACACTCCCACTTGTTTCCTTTGCATACAGAACCTTTTCAATCTGACGCCATCCGTTTGTTAACTCTTGGCATTATTTCCTGAGCTTCGGAGGCCCTACTGAGAAAGTTGGTGCCAGTGCCTATATGCTGGAGTGTTGACCCTATGTTTTCTTCTAGGAGTTGTATAGTTTCTGGCCCAATTCCAAGGTTTTTGATCCACTTTGAGTTGATTTGCATGCAAGGCTTAAGATAGGGATCCAGTTTCATTCTTGAACATATGGATAAACAGTTCTCCCAGTACCATTTGTTAAAGAGGCTGCTTTTTCTCCAGTGTATGAAGATGTGTGGGTTGGTCTCTGTCCTCTATTCTGTACCATTGGTCTGTGTGTCTGTTTTTATGCCCGTACCATGCACTTTTCATTGCTGTAGCTCACTAGTAATAATTTGAAGTCATAGTGTGATGCCTCCAGCATTGTTTCTTTGGCTTAGAATTACTTTGGCTATTCTGGGTCTTTTATCCTTCCAAATGAATTTTAGGACTGTTTTTCCTAGTTCTGTGAAGAATGTCATAGGTGTTTTGATGGGAACTGCATTGAATCTGTATGTGGCTTTGGATAATATGGCCATTTTAACAATACTAATTCTGCCTATCCATGAACATGGGAGGTCTTTCCATCTTCTTGTATCTTCAATCTTTTTTCTTTAATTTTCTGTGATTTTCATTGTAGAAGTCTTTCATCTCTTTGATTAGATTTATGACTAGTTTTTTTTTTTTTTTTAGGCTATTATAAATGGGGTTGCTTTCCTGATTTCTTTCTTACATTGAAACCAACCTCTTGGTGAGGGATGAGCAGCAATGAGTCAGATGAAGGGAGAGTGTGGGGCAGACAGAGAGCAGTACTGCAGAGGGGACACATATGTAAGGGCCTGGAGCCAGGAATGGTCACTGTGATTATAGAGGTGATGGGTCAGCCATGGAGGACATACAGAGTTATATTTGGAGCTAGAAATTTGATCCTGAATGCAGGGAGAGCCATCAGCATTTCAAGAATGGGAGTAACATTGTGAGATGTTCATCTTTTTAAAGACCACTCTGACTGCAGGAAGGGAATAGAGGGACAAAAAAGAGCCACAGGAGACCAGTAAGAGAGGCCTTTGTCATTGTCAGGGTAGAAGATGGCAGGACAGGAGTGTGCATGTGGCTGGGATGAGATAGTCACAGCGGAGATGGAGGAAAACGACAGATTTTTAAAGACATTTCGGAGGAGTTACGTTGGATTTGAGAGGTGACAGTGTGAGTCCCAAATTTGTGGTTTTATTAACAGTTGGAGAAGAGTGTCATTTTGGGGGACGGAAGGACACAGATGCAGGTAGGAGAAGGGGCACCCTGGCCATCAGAGGGAATGTGGAGTGGTGTTGAGATGCCCACCCGTGGAGCTCCAATGACTGACCGAGGCTGGAGGTGTACACATGGCTGCTGAATGGGAATTGGAGCTGAGACCCGTTGAGGTCCACCTGGGGAGAGAGTGTAGGGCAGAAAGAGAGGAGAGCTCAGGCCTGAGCCCATAAAATGCCAACAGGGAAACCTAGAAGAAGGTGGTGAAGCAAGAAGGCAGGCAGGTGGCCTCTTGCCCCCGCGCAGTCTGCCCAGCTGCGCTGTGGGATAATCCCACGATAACCCTGCAGAGGGGGCCAGTGAGCAAGAGCCTGGTGGGTTCTGGGTCCCGGGGTGGGTACCAGTGTGGCAAGGGCCTTGCCCTCTCAGAGCTGGTTCCTGTGGCTCTGAAGGGCAATCTAGGGCTCTTCCCCATGGGGTTGTGAGGGTTCCCGAGGAGAAAGCCCTGGACACTGATCAGGAGTGTCGGCGTCCTGTGCTCTCTGCTCTTCACGTGGCTCTGCCCAAAACCACCCATCCCCGCTCATGACGTCATCGCGCATGACGTCATCGCGCATGACGTCATCCACCAAACAGGGAGGACTCACCTACCGCGAACCAGGCATGGCGTCCGACTCCAGTAACCTCACCAGGGGAGCACACATACTTGATGCATCTAACCACACAAGACGTTAGAAATGTTATTTCTTATGTGCTGTTGTAGTTTTTCTTTCTCTAAATATATATTTTTTGACTGAGGTTCACCCTCACCTTCACCAGTACCTTTGGTGTCCTTCCATGGTTCCAGAATATTCTCATGCCTCTTCAGCTATTCCTCTGGCTCATTTTCTCATTCTCTTCCCTCCAGAATGTTGATGACTGGACCCACTCTTACCTGTCATGTCTGCATGTGATCTCTGTGACATGCGTGTCTTCTTTGTCCCTCCATGCTAATTCTGGATGGTTCCGGGATCTGTCTTCCAACTCAGACATCCCTTTTTTGCTAGATCTAAGAATAGAAAAACATATTTAAAAAAAAAAAATGGAAAAGAGAGAATAAATCCCCAGACCAACTAGGACACCCAAACCCACCAGGGGCATCACGAGACAGGACAATGGAGGCCAATTTTACTTGTGAACCAGATGCAACAGTCCTAAACAAATTGTCAGCCAACAAAATCTAAAGTGCAGAGAAAGAATACTGCTTCCTGACCTAAGAGGAACGAAGGAGAAAAAGTCATTTGCCAGCCAAGTTAACTGAATTTAAAAAGGAGGGTCACTTGGGCCTTTCAGTGGAGGCAGAGGGAAAGAATTTGATAAAATTAAAAAGCAATGCACAATTTAAAAAAAAAAAAACTCAGCTAGACTGGGCACGGTGGCACATGTCCATGATCCCAGTGACCCAGGAGGCCAGGCAAGAGGATGGCGAGTCAGAGGCCAGCCTCAGCAACTTAGCAAGACCTCGTCTCAAAGTTAAAAAACAGAAGTGCAAGCTCATCGTACTTTTCAGTAAAATATGGCGACCATAATGACAAGGGAGAAGCAAGCATGTCCACGCTCAGCCTTTCTGTTCACCAGTGTCCTGGGTGTCCCTGATCAGCTCAGCAAGGCCAGAAAAATACACAAATAAGGACTGGAAAGAAGGTGGCCAGCATGGCCCCTAGTCTCCACCTTTGTTCTTCTGGAGGAACATTTGTCCCATTTGCCAAGATAGGGACACGAGAGAGAGGCCGGGGTTCGGCTGGCTGCTGGGAACTTGTAAGAGAAAAGCATCCAGCTGCCTGGAGAGCCCACCGGGCAGGACTTGGGTGCTTCAGCTCCATTCCCAGCTCTTCTGCTGACTTGGATGGTCCGTTTTCCTTCTTAGCCTGGGGTCCCAGTCTGTAAAATGGGTGACTGTGGGAAGGTGGATCTTGGGTGGGCTGTGGTGGCTGGTTCTGAGGGGCAAACAGAGGGAAGCAGGTGACAGGAGCCAGTCCTGTTCTCCAGGAGAGCAGGCTTTTGTGTGTGGAGCCTCTGGTGGGAGGGAGCATCTGCTTGGGAATGGAGCAGGAGTCTTTCCAAGTCAGGGGGCCACCTAGACCCTCTGCCTTGCAGAAGAATCATCCCTTCTCTTTGCCAAGGGATTGTTATTATGGTGGTGTTGAGTGTGTTCTGCAGTTTTAAGACACTGACCCCCCACCAATGTGCCCTTTTGATGTTTTAGACCTATAACAGCCAGAGTGAGAGCAACGAAGACTATGAGATCCCTCCAATAACACCTCCCAACCTCCCTGAGCCATCTCTCCTGCACCTGGGGGACCACGAAGCCAGCTACCACTCGCTGTGCCACGGGCTTACACCCAACGGTCTTCTCCCTGCCTACTCCTACCAGGCCATGGACCTCCCGGCTATCATGGTGTCCAACATGCTGGCCCAGGACGGCCATCTGCTCTCAGGCCAGCTGCCCACGGTGAGTCCTACCTCCTGCCATGCTTCCTTCACTCATGGCAGGGACACCGGTCGACAGAAGCAGAATATCCAGCTGTGATGAGAGTCCTGCTCCCTGGCAGGGCATGGTGCAGTTGGTTGTCTATGGGAGTCTGCAGAAGCCGGGGCGGCACCGAGGGAAACTTACCCATCACTCGGCTCACTTCTGGGCTCTGTTTATAACACCTTGGGATTTGTTTTATTATTCGTTAATAATGTAATCTCATTTAACAATTTTTAACAGCCTTTATTGAAGTACAATTCACATATCATATCATCTACCCATTTAAAGAGTACAAGTCAGTAGCTCTTCCTGTGTAAATGGTCATAGAACTATCTAGACAATCACCCTCCAAAAGAAAGCTGTACCCCCAGTCCTTGAGAACCACTGATTACTTTCTATTTCAATAGATTTGCCCAGTTTGGACATTTTATATAAGTGGAATCAGGTTTTGGTGTTTGTTTGTTTTTTTTTAATTGTATCTTGCTTAAGCAGCCAGGAAAGAGGGTGATTACCAAAGTAAAGTTCATGTACGCAAAGTCTTAGCAGGAAGGGGTCTTCCAGGCTGGGGGAACAGCACGCACCAAAGAGGATGACTAGGTGCGTGTGCTGTGCTGGAGCAGCCTGTGGCTCCTTCTCTTCATCAGGGTGGAGAGCAAGGCCTGAAGTCGAGGAGGGAAAGAGGAGGTGAAGGACTGAGCAGAGCCTGGGTCTCCATGGCCTGGATTCTGGGGTTGTGCCCTCTTAGCATGAATGCTGACTTCACCATCCAGGTGGATAGAATATCACTAGGTCTTTTTTTTTTTTTTTTTTTGGTCCAATGGAAAAGTCTCTATAAGGGAATTCTAGGACTTTTCCTGAACAACTTATTTGAGTCTGTTTTTGCTTTTTCCCCCCATTTCACAGCTAACAGTATGTATATATATATATATATATATATAAGTCAGAACTCTTGAATATTCATTTTTAAGCAACAGGAACCAAATTCATACTAACTGAAGAAAAAAAAAAAGCCTGAAATACCCAAGGGTGGACAAAGGGTTTCAGGCATGGCTCAATCCGGGAACTCCAGCTGTGTCCTTAGGGCCCCGTTGCATGCCTGCGTCCACACAGCAGGCCTGATGGCTTCCAGCACACTCCTCATATCTCGGGAAGGGCCCTGTGTCCCAGGGACCACCATGACAGCTATGCTGACCTGCCACTGTGTCCTAGAGGCTTTTGTCAGCTTGGGTCACGCACACCCCGGGGGCAGGAGGAGGGGCTGCTTGCTTGACTTTCCCCTCAGAGCCCCGCGGCGCCGGGTGGGGTGGGTTCACCTCTGTAGTGGCTGCTCAGAAGCCACAGCCCAGTTTGTGGCTCAGTGTGGCAGACACCTAGGACCTCCAGACACCGCTCGTTGGCTGACCATCCGAACTCTCTTCCATTTCTTAATTGTTGACTCTTTTATTGCCAACAAATTCCTCTGCTTGAAAACCCCGGTGGACTCTGGGTTTAAGCCACTCACGGTTTGGTTTGGTTTTGTTCGTGGCGCCAGGTGAGAGGTAAAAGGAGAAGGGGGGAGCCCCCTCAAGACCCACGTGTTCTGGGTCCGCTCTCCCTAAAGAGCTCAGTGAAAACTGATGCTCTGCTTCTCAGGGGACACTTTCCTTTGGGGACTTTCCATAATGCAGGTCCTCGGCTGCTGCTTCTAAGAGACCTTCCCATTCAGACTCCAGGGTCCACGACCTTAATTCCACCTCAGCCGCAGGTGGACACCTCAGCTGCTGTCCAGCTGACGTACCCACAAGACCCTCGCTCCTCCAGACCACCTCTGTTCAGGATTTTTGGTCACATGAACAAGGACAGGACCAGGTGGACACCTTGGTCAGGAGAGCTTCGGTGCAGGGGTGGGGACGGCTGCAGTCCTAGGCCACAGGTTGCCGGCTCACGTGCTGGTGGCTCAGGGAGACGGCGTGGGGTGTGGTTAGTGCGTGGACAGAAGATTAATCCTGGCTGCACCTCTGGGCCTCCGTTCCCTTGTCTTGGAATGATCACAGCCCTGCCCCCAGGTCCTACTGAAGCCCATCCGAGATAATGTACTTTGCAAAGTCTTAGTAAATGTCTGGCGGGGAGTGAACAGTCAGGGAATATTTGCTATTGTTATTATTAGTAATAAAAACAAGCTCCCGCTGTAGTGGAGTGGCCCCAGCTCTCTTTAATCTCCTTTACCCAAAGGAACAGGTTGCAGAAACTCCCAGGTGCACTTGTAGGACCCCAGGTAATAGAAGCTCGGATAATTACAAAGCATGTCATCTATTTATCAAAGATAACCCCTCGTGGCTCCTTCGAGAAATGCTTGTGTTGGGCTCCATCCAAACAGGCACTTGGTAGTCATTTCCAGATTTCTCCATAACGAGTTCATGTTTCGGATGCTTCCTCCATTCAGATGGCCTTAATTCTTCCATTAGCCTGACTTTGCAAGGGTTCGCTGGATTTTATACTCGCTCGTTATGTAATAACGATAATAAAGATAATAAATATAAGCCGACCCTATTACCGGGAGACGCCTGCGCCAACTGGGAAGCCAGATAAGAACATGGGGCTGAACGCTGGGTCTGTCTGGCCAAGAGGCAAGAGGCCCCTCATGACAGACTGTTAAACTCGTGGGAACTGCAGGGTGAAGGGGGTGTCCCTGGGTGTCACGCCTGCTGCCCGGGTGATGTGGGATTTGTGTTAGCACCTGCTGGGTGTCAAGAGCCAGTGCAGGCCTGCTCCACTGAGTGGGGGGAGCCGGGAGGGCTCAGCCCAGGGGACCGAGGCTCCGAGGAGGCAGGGGAGTGTGTTTTCTGTAGCTGCTCAAATGACTGCAAATCCACAGGCTCCCAGATCAGGACCCTGGGCTGCAGTTCAGTACCAGGAGGGCCACACTTCCCCCAGAGGCTCTGGGGGAGAATCTGTCCTCGCCTCTTGTAACTCCTGGCTTGCAGCCAGGTCTCTCGGGTCCCGGCCTCCACCCCACCCTGCCTTCTTTTCTGTCAGTGGATGCCCTTCTGCCCCTCTTCTAAGAACACTTGTGATGACCTTTAGGGCTAGGCCAAGATCATCTTTCCATCTCAAGATCCTTGACTTAGTCACCTTTGCAAAGACCCCTTTTTTCCAATACCGTGACATTTCTGGGTTCCCAGGATCAGGGCCTGATATCTTAGTGGAAGTGGAACTTTTTTTTAACCTAATACAGGCTCCTTTATTGAGCACCTCCTAGGTTGGTACCAGCCATTGCTCCATATTGAGCACCTACAAGGTACTAGCCAGTGCTCTGGGCTCAGGAGCTGTTATAAGACGTCAGAGGAACTCTGTGTAGATGGAGCGAAGGCTACCCTATGGTTTGAGTATGGATGGTGGCCCCAGGCAGTACCCAGCTTGGTCCCCAAGATGGCATATTAGGAGGTGCTATGGGCTTTGAAGAGAAGGAACCTAGTGGGAGGTCCTTACATTCTTGGGGGTGTGCCCTCCAAAGGGATTGTGGGACCCTGGTCTCTTCCTCTCTTTCTCTGTTTCCTGGCTCAAGATGTAACCACTGGTCTTGTGTCCCCTCCCACTTCGAGGGGCTTCCCTTGCCAGAGGCCTAACCAATGTGGCCCCTCCATCTTGGCTTTGAGCCTCTAGAACTGTGAACTAAAATAAATCTCTCTTTTCTTCGTAAGTCACCTGTGTCTGGTATTTTGTTATAGTGATGCAAAGCTGACTAATACACCCTGTTTCTAAAAAATGAAGCAATGTTGTACTAGGGTCAGGGTACGGCGCTCTGGGTGCCAGCTCAGATGTGGGGTTATCGCTTCCTAACTGGAGGCTCTGCCTTTTGCAGGGAGGAAACACGATCAAAGGAGTACAAGTCTTCTAATGAGTTCAAGGGTACAAAGTCTAATCCGTGCCTCTACCACCTCATCTGTACAATGGGAACACTCAGTACCACGAGTACTAGTAGGCCCTGGGAGTGCTTAGCATAGTCAAGGGTCAGCAGGTACCCCTTAGAAACTGTCATTATCACCCCATACAGGAGGTGACGCCTGACACAGAATGGGTTCTGTGAGTACTTTATGAGTGATTTAATGCCATCGGGTTCTTAAACAGTAAAACCTGAATTCCAGCCCAGCTGGGTCCCCTCCTGGCCACTTTCTAATTTCACCCGGTGTCTGAGGGATGGTGCAGTCCTGCTGCAGGTGGCTCAGAGGACGCCCTGATGCTAAGGTGTGCCAGGTAATATGACACAAGTGCCATGTGCCAGAGATGTTGTTCCTGCAGAGAGGGACGAGGCCAGTCATCTCATAAATGCCAGGACCCCCTTTGGCTCAGACCGCAGAGGCCACCCATTCCTTCCGGTCCCCTGCCCCGCTGGCTCGGCCTCACTGGCCCATGTGACGTCGGCCCTTCTCCCTTAAAGATATGGCTGCCAGCAGGACTCATGCGCAGTACTGGAATCGGGTCCCTCTACAAAATTAAATATGCTCAAGGCTTCTCCCTGGACTTGGGCGTCTTAACTGATTAAACATTCATTTCCAAGACAAAAAGAGTCAATTTAGTATGAAAGATATATTTTGCCGGTTTAATTTAAAGCGCGGCACCTCCATCTGACCCCTATTTTCATAACTCAATAATTTCATCCTGTGTTGATTGTCTCATTTTGAGAGAGATATTGTATGTATAAATCAGTTTCTAAAATACCCAAAGAAACTCCAAGAGTGGAATTTATTAAGCGGCTTCTGTTACGTCTGAAATCATTTATTTGGGAGTCGTCCTTGGGAAACGTCGCCGCTGACGGGCCTGGTGTCCCCGGGGAGGGTTATCCTGAGAAGGGATGGAGCCTGATGCTCTCAGTTCCCGGGGAACCCGGACCTTCCCCAAAGCCAGAGAAGCTCCTGGAAGGGGCTTGGGCGCGTAGAGGCCCGAGCCAAGGGGCAATGGGTTCCTGAAAAGCTCCGGTCCCCCTTGCAGTGGATCCTGGT